CTAATGCCTAAGATATTGATGTTTATGCGTTCCATTTCATTTTTGACAACTTCCAGTATTCCCAGATTCATACTTCGTACATTCCATGTTCCAATTTTCAGTGGATGTTTACAGTTGTTTCTCTTCATTTTGTGCTTTGCCCCATCAACAAATGAAGGTCCCATGGGCTTTTCTCCCATGAGCTTTGCTCTGATTCGCATTATCATGGTCAACTCTAATTTGAGAAGGTAGCTCTTCCCCAGTCACATTTTGAGTGCCTTCTAACCTCATGGGCTCATTTTCTGGCACTATATCCGGCTAAGTGTTTCTCTGCTTTTTAGTGACTAAATATTTGGAAGTAGGTAGTCACTCTTTCTTCCTAGTCTGTCTTTGTCTGGAAGCTCATTTGAAACCTGTCCACCATGGGTGACCCTGATGGTATTTAAAATAATGGTGGCATAGCTTTCAGTATCACAGCAACTCACAAGCCACCACAGTCAGACAAACTGACAGATGAGTGGCGGCTGTTTGGTTTTAAGTGGAAACTGACACTTTAAATTTCCAGGAGATCTGTGAACATGTGTTGTAGAACCTTCCAGGCCGGGGGGTTGGGTGTACAGACAGCGAGAGACCAATGAACAGATATCAAAAAAAAGAATGTCCACATCTGTATTCCCGCAGTTCAGCCGCGCATTCGTGGCTATTTTGATCCTTCCCCCACTTGGTCTCTCCCAAGATAGCAGCTCCAGGAGTAGCTTAGGGTGTTGAATTAGAAAGCAATAGATTTCTTGATTCTGCTACAAATTCCCCTAGCTGTAAGCCTTCCAATCTTCTTATATGTGGTTCTGAGTTCTAGCACCATCCCCTTAGCCTACTTGGCCCGGTATTCTGTGTTGTTGGTGACGGAGCTCCTCACTGCATGTCTACCCAATCCGCCATCTTGTGCTTATCCTACAGCACCAAGCCAGGACTCCATATATGTATAAATATAGATAATGTTGCGATCCAATGACTCAGATAATCTGGACAGAAATTATGTTAATTTAAGTTATTATTCAATCCTCCAGGTCCTGTTTGTAGCAGTTCTTCTTTAAGAATAAATGAATTATCAGTACATCAAAAGAGTAGACAAAAACCTGCTGAAAAAACAAGGCAGTCATCTAAGAATATTATGGGGGAAACTGCTCTATCTAAACAGCAGAAGACAGCTACTCAAGACAACTCAAGAGCAAAGAAGTTTTTAAATGCTGAAGATTCTGGAGGTATTGTTGAGAATGATAAAATTACCAGTTCCCAGAATGAATCATTGGAAAGTGACACGGCAGACCTGGCTAAGAAGAAAAATCTTGATCATTCTGGGTAATAACTATTATGTATACAATATCTTTGTTATAGTGTAAAATCATTTTATCAATATTATTTAATCGTTTACAAAAAGGGAATATTAACATAAAAGGTTCTGCAGTCTGACAGACTTGGTACTAAGTCCAGATTCTAATATTGTTTGTGTTAACCTTTTATTCCTCATGGCAACAATACTCTGAACTTGTTTCCTCATATTTGTTTAAATGGGAAATAATATATAGCACATGAGATTATGATATTAAATTTAGTAAGGATGGAATTGTTACCCCATAAAAGTTGATTTAAGTAAGTTTAATTTGATTTTAGGGGCATGGTGGCTCTGATGAGTTAACTGGACTATGAACCACAAGACCACCAGCTGCTCCACTGGAGAAAGATGAGAAAGATTTACGCCTCAGAGACCTTATGCAGGGTCGTTATAAGTCAGAACAAGTGTATGGCACTTAACAACAACAAAATTGATTTCAGTTATTAATAATATTTATTTCTCACCATGATGAAAATAGTTAACATTTTTCAGTGCTTAATTTATGCCAAATATTTGCTAGCTGCTTTCTATGAATTCTTATCAGTCGTAACCTGAGGTTAAGTATTGCTATTATGCATTCTTGCCTTTTTTTTTTTTTTAAATAGCTTCCATTCATTCAACAAAGAATACACACTCTTTGTTAGAAACTGCAACATACTGGGGATATACTGAAATAAATGATACAGTGTCCCAGAATTTTTTAGTCTGTTATTATATGTAAAACAGAATCTTATATATATTCTATTTAACATTCCAAACAATTTTTGTACCTGTTTTCTCATTCAATTTCTTTTAATGAAGTATTTTAGGTATACCAAAAACAAGAATAATAATATGTAACACCCGATCCTCCATGACCTTGCTTAAGAAGTAAAGCATTACAGTTGTCATTGACATTCCATGTGCACCTCTGCTGAGCCCATTTCTCTTCCTTCCTTGTTCAAAGTTTAAGAGTATACTGAATTTGGAGTCCTGGTGTGGTGCTGTGGGTTAATGCGCTGAACTACAAAGTTGGTTTGAACTGCAAGGTTCGTGGTTCAAACTTGCCAGTCACTCCTCAGAAATCCTATACAGGATGGCATTTTATGAAAACAAGAACAACATACTGAATTTTATAGCTGTCATTCTCACAAATGTTTTTATACTTTTCTTACATAAGTGTGCAAGAAAGCAACTTGTAGTATAATTTTAAGACTTTTTAAAAAATGTGTTTTTTCACTGTTTCTTAGAAACTTGTTTTTTCCTCTGTTCAGAATACACTTTTTGAAATTGACACATATAAAAAGTGAGTCCTGGTGTGGTGCTGTAGGATAATCACTGGACTACCAGCTGCAAGGTTGGCAGTTCAAACCCACCAGCCACTTCTTGGAAACCCTATACAGGGTTGCTGTGAGTTGGAACAGATTCAGCATTACTTGACAACAACAAAAATATGTGAAAAAATAATTTATTTTGTTAGTTTAGAGTAGGGTAAGCTATTCTTACAGAGCCAAATTTTAAAGAGTTTAGACTTTGCTGACTCAGTGACAAAATTGAGGCTATTACATAGACATTAGTCATTTGAAATGTAACATTCAAAAGTTTAAAAATCATTCTTAGCTCTCAAAAGAAAGCAAGTGGTTGGTTGGATTTTAGTGTCAACTTGTAAAAGTTTTATTAAAATATGTTTAGCTTTGAAGGGAAATTATTCTCCACAGTCCTACCCATAATCCAACTAGGACATCATGTTCCTAAAAATAAAATTCTACTACAGTTCTTGTGAGTCTCCCATTCCGGAGTATTGACCACCAAATTTTCTCATTCTGGTTGTCACAGTGAATCACCCAAATTGTTATAATTTGGGTCTGTTCCTTTTTCACTTTGTTGCCTAAGAAAGAACTGGTTTGAATCCCTGCCTTAAAGGGCAATTAGGAGCTGTCGGTCAATTGGACTCTTATAACCTGAGAATTGCCTGTAGTTACCATCTTTTGATATACTTATCAGTTTCAAACAGTTTCCCCTTTGTTATTGGCTCATTAATAACTTTTGCTCATTTTTTTTTAATTAGAATGGTGTGGTGCTGTAGGGTAAACACTAGACCCCAAGGTCAGTTTGAACCACTAGGTCAGCTGTTCATACTCACGAGCCACTCCTCGGAAACCCTACACAGAGTCATTGCAGCAGATTTGCCTAATGCAATAAGTTGTTTAATTTCTTCACTGTTGCTACCATAAGCTTTGATTGTGGATGCAAGCAAAATGAAGTCTTTGAAAACTTCAGTCTTTTCTCTTTTTATCATGATTGTCTGATTGTGAGGATATTTTTCTTTACATTGAGCTGTAGTTCATACTGGTGGCTATAGTTTTTGATCTTCTTTTAAGTATTTTAACTTTTCTTTACTTCCAGCAAGCAAGATTGTCATCTGCATATCACAGGTTATTAATGATTCTCCAATCCTGATGCCACATTCTTCTTCATATAATCCAGTTTCTCAGATTATGTGCTCAGCATACAGATAAAAAAAAGTATGGTGAAAGGACACAACCTGGTGCACCTTTCCTGATTTCAAACCATTCAGTATCCCCTTGTTCTTTTCTAATAGGTACCTCTTCGTCTATGTACAGGTTCCTTTTGAGCACAATTAAGTGTTCTGTAATACCCATTTTATGCAATGTTATCATCCATAATTAGTTATGACCCACACAGTCAAATCCCTTTGTATAGTCAATTAAACACAAGTAAACATTTTAATGGTATTCCCAGCTTACAGTCAAGATCCATCAGACATTAGCAGTACTATCTCTTGTTCTGCATCTTCTGAACCTAGCTTGAATTTCTGGCAGCTCCCTGTTGCTGTACTGATGTAATTGTTTTATATTATATGCAGCAATATTTCACTTGCATGTGATTATTAATGATACTGTTCTATTGTTTTAGCATTCTGTTGGGTCACCTTTCTCTGGCATGTGCGTAAATGTGGATCTCTTCTAATTTGTGCCACTAGGAATCTACAAAAATTATTTTTCACATGTAGATAATTAGTTTTTCCTGAACCATATATTGAATAGTGCATTTGTTCCTCACTAATTGTGTTGCACTTTCTGTCTTCTATCAGAGTTCCATATTTGTGTCAAATTGTTTATTATATCTTTTATTTCATAAGAATGCTAAAGGTGGGAAAGACATGTTTTAGCTCCATTGTTTTTAATATGAGGAGGGCTATATAGATTGAGTGGTTTGCCATTAAACTGACATCTTCTTAGTAATAGTCTAGTTGTTTTTATTTTAGTGTATTAATTATAGAAATAAATTGCTAAGTAAGTAAGATAGGTAAGTTTGAGCTGTGGATGGTGAGAAATATTAAGGTTAAAAAAATGGACTTGTGTTGAGTTTCTGGATTTGAGGTAGTACCCCTAAGTAGCGTAGTGGTTACGAATCGGGCTGCGAACCTTAAGGTCAGCGGTTCGAAACTACCAGCCGCTCCACGGGAGAAAGATGAGGCTTTCTACTCCCGTAAAGATTTACACCCTCGGAAACCCTATACAGGGTCGCTATGGGTCGGAACCGACTCGATGGCACTTAACAACAACAACCCCTAAGGAGGAGTCCTGGTGTGGTGCTGTGGGATAAGCATTGACTGCTTACCACAGATCAGTGGTTCAAACCTACCAGCTGCTCCTTGGAAACCCTGTACAGGATCACTTAACAACGCTATCCCTAAAGAAGAATGGGCATTCCAGAACAATTCCCTGTGCTCACGTGGAACTTGTATATAGACAATGAGGCAGTCACTAGAACAGAACAAGGGGATACTGAATAGTTTAAAATCAGGAGAAGTGTGTGTCAGGGTTGCATATTTTCACCATTCTTATTCAGTCTGTATGTTAAGCAAATAATCTGAGAAGCCAGACTATGTGAGGAAAAATGTGGTTTCAGGATTGGAGGAAGGCTCATTAACAATTGGCATCATGCTGATGACATAATCTTGCTAGCTGAAAATGAAGACAACTTGCTTTTGAAAATAAAAGAATTCACACTTCAGTATGGATCACAATTCAGTGCAAAGAGAGCAAAATATCTTGACACCTGGATCATTAAATGACATGAAAAGATGTAAATTGTCAAAGATTTCATTTTTCTTTAATCAGTAATCAGTGGTCATGGAAGAAGCATCAAGGAAATAAAAGATGTATTGTATTTGGCAAATCTGCTGCAAAAGACCTCCTTAAAGTATTAAAGAGCAAAGATGTCACTTTGAGGACTAAGGTGCGCCCCACCCAAGCCGTGGTATTTTCAGTTACTTTATATGGATATGAAAGTTGGACAATAAATAAGGACTAGAGAAAAATCAATGCATTTGAATTATGGTGTTACTGTTGAATTAGGGACTATCAGAAAAACAAACCTATCTTGGAAGAAGTACACCCAGAATCCTGCTTTGAAGCGATGATGGAGAAACTTCGTCTGTGGTACTTTTGGACATACTATTAGGAGGGACAGTCCCTGGAGAAAGGGCATCATACTTGGAAAAGTAGAGGGTCATTGATAAAAAGACCCTGAACAAGGTGTATTGATACAGTGGCAGCAACAAATATATAACAATTATGAGGATGGCACAGGAACAGGCAGTGTTTTGGTCTTTTGTGCATAGGTGACTGTGAGTTAAAACCTATTCTATGGCATCTAGTGCACACACACACAAACACACTACTCTAAGGAGGCAGCTCTTTCCTAGTCTCATTTTGAGTGTTTTCAAATCTAAGGGTCTTATCTTTCAGAACTAGACAGCATTCTTTTGTTATCTTTAAAGTTTCATTGCCTATATTTTGGAAGCTGTTCATAGACCCTTCTCCTAGCCTGTAATAGTATGGAGTCCTGGTGTGGCACTGTGGAATAAGCACTGGGCTGCTAGCCACAGGTTGGCAGTTCAAATCCACCAGTTGCTCCTCAGAAACCCTGTACAGGGATGCTATGAGTTGAAACAGACTTGATGGCACTCAACAACTACATGAGTGTGGAAACTCCAGGGAAATCTGCTTACCATGATTGACTTACTGCTATCTCATATACAGGTGAAATAGCTTCTTTTATCATAGCAATGAAGAAGCAACTATAGCACACCAAACTGATAGATGGATGGTGTATTTTTTATTGTTTCTGGAAAAAATGTCTTATGTGGGGTTGTAAATTATTACATACTTTTCATTTTCAGAGCTATAGAAAATTCACAGCATCAAGACAGTTCAGATAGTATTACAGCTGCACAAAGTTTTTGTCTCAAATGCCCGGCTAGTGGATATACATGGAAAACAGGAGCACGATTTAAAAAGCGTAAGACTTCAATATTAGAAGTAAGGTATGTATTTGTTCTAAGGATAACAGGTTTCATTTGCTAAATTAGTTAACTGTTGCTGCATAACAAATTAATAGTTAGTTTTAATATTGTTAGTGGCTTGCTTTTATTTAATTTTTAAAAACAGTTCTGTTGGATTAAAAGGTTTAGCTGCATAATTTTTTTTTTAAATGTTTTTATGGTAAATTATTTGATAGTTTACATGGGATAACATTAATTTTACATTCATCCTATCGTATATTATTTCATTGCTATGGTTACATTCCCGACTTCATGCATCATCAGCCAACCAAAGGGTATACACTACAAGCCTGCCCCCTGGTCGTCAGCACACAGCCCCTCTCCCTTTCTGTGTCTAAAGTCCCCAACTGCTCCATCTCTCCACGTCATCGTCTCTGCCTCCATCTCAGGCATCACTGCTTCTCTGGGTAGGGTTCCGCTCTCTGCTTTTCTCCCTTGATGGTCCCAAGGACCTCTGCTCCTAGACTGAAAAGTTAATCACTCCCCTCCTTGCTACAAAACGTCTACCTTTACATTTCCAACCCACATAAGCAGTCCTGATAATAGTTATTCACTACTGTATCACAAGAGACCTATCCACATTTCATTTCATCAGCCCCACCTAGACAGATTGGATACTACTCAGTGGAGATTCTACCTGCCTTCACGCCCTCTGAATCTAGGTTCCCTCTTGAAAACTTGTAAGCTAGTCACTTCTTGCCTTTGTAGTCCCCCATTTTGGGTAGCCAATGTCCAAATTTACCCATTCCTGTCAACTCTGTGCATGGAGGGGGTGGGAATGATCCTTGCTATAAGGATCATTCCTTCTTTTGAGCTACTGCATCCATAGGTGTAAGTCAAGTTCATCAAATTGTATCAGATTCCCTTTTTTTCCTCTTCTTTCTGCTTCTGGTTGTAGCTGCGTACTTCTTGCTTTGGGACTTTCATGAGGTTGCAGTCAAGATGTTCATCTGGTTTGTTGTCCTCTGAAGGCTTAACTGGATAATCTTAAGATGACTCACTTACCAGACTGGTTAGAGGTTCAGTTCCTTGCTGGTAATTGTCAGGACAACTAATTCCTTTCTTAGTGGGCCTCTCCATAAGACAGCTCAACATGGCACCTTGCTCACAGAGCTGGTGAACCAAGAGCGTATGAGTACCATGGAAGTCACAGTGTTTTTTAAATGACCTAGTTTCTGAAGTTGTTCATCCTCATTACTACTTTATTCATTAGAAATAAGTCACTGCATCTAGATGACGTGCAAAGGGAGGAGTAGTAAAGAATTTATATTTATCTGTGGAGAGTGCAGTAGCTCTATAGGATAAGCACCAGACTGTGTGCTACAAGGTCAGTGATTTAATCGTATCAACCATCCTGTGAGAGAAAGATGAGGCTTTGTGCTATTGCAATGTGGCACTGTAGGATAAACATTGGACTGCTAGCTGAAAGGATTGTACTTCAAACCCACCAGACACTCGTTGGAAACCCTATACAAGGTTACTGTGAGTTGGATTCAGTTCTGTTGTACTTGACAACAACAACACTTATATTTGTATATGTTTTTAAATAAGCATACTCATTTAGTGAGTGCCAATTTGTAAATAAATAAACTTCTATGACATACCCTTTTAAAAAGTAAATGAATGGTAAGATCAGAAATTCTCAGGATTAAAAAGGTAAAGATTTACTACTGGGGCATTGTGAAAGGGCCTAACCTGGGTTATAATAGGAGAAAAGAGCATAGGACTGAGATACGCATAATCACCTGTGACAATTTCTGGACTACATTTTAAATTTGTTTTGTGTTTTGACTGTAGTTTTTAAAAATTAAAAAACAATTTTTTCTAACTTTAATTATAATTTGATTTACTTTTTCTACTTTTCATTATAAAATAAAATATATGGCACATTTTCCATTTCAGCATTTTTTTTTTTTTTTTGTGAATTGAGTGAAGGTTCATAGACAAGATGATCAGTTTTACATTCAACAAATCATACACTGTGTTTCATTTCAATGATTGCAGTCCTCTTCATGCAACAATGGTTATCCTGATTCATTCATGTGGTTACCCATGTACAAATATCCTCTTCCAAACCCTTATGTTTATGTTGTTGTTAAGTGCTGTTGAATCAGTTCCGACTAATAGCGACTTTATATTAGGTTTCCAAGGAGCAAATGGTGGATTTGAACCACCGACCTTGCAGTTCAAACTGACCTTGCGGTATAGTGCTTATCCTACAGGACCATACCCGGATTCCTTATATGTTTGTAGAATATTTTTTTCTTTCTTTCTACTTTTTCTCCCATACCCATTCAACCTGTGTCTCTGTCCATGTATCTATACACAGAACACTGTTGTTCCGAGGTTGTGTATATATCACTAAATATCTGTCCCCTTTAGCTCTTGCATACCTCCCTGTGTCTTCACCTATCTTCATCATTCTTCCAACATAATCAGCATTTTTCACATGTTTAATTCATTGAGATCAGTTAATACCACATACACAGTGACTCCTTCATTTCTCTGCTGCCTCATTTTACTAGTTGCCTTTTAGTCAATTTGAACTCACAACAATCCAGTGAGTGCAGAGAACTGCTCCATAGAGCTGGTTATGGGAGATTTTGCTATACTAGTCTTCTGTAGTAATTTGAAGTAGACTGGCAACTGACAGTTGACAGAGGTGTTGTACTCTCTAAATGGACATCCTGGGACTTCAGCATTGTTGATGTAGAGTAGAAACTTAGATTCTTGTCTCTTTGCACAGGTTGGTGGTGTGGTTGCTAGGGAACCAAGTGCCTTTGCTGAGTTCGTTTCTCTACGTCACTGTAACCAGTGACCTGCTTGGCTGGAGAGGAAGCAAGAACATTGGGAGAAGCTATTTTTATTCTGTGTATGGCTTGTCATTGACTTACTGATTCTTACAGTTTCTAGCTATTACCCTCTGCTCCCAAATCCAGTGTCCCTCCAGGCTGAACATTCTTTTTTCTGTTGTATTTTTTAGTGTGTTTGTGGAGGAGGGTTTGATAGATGTTCTGTTTTTGTCACCATCTTCCCAGTATTCCGTAAGTTCTGAGTTAACTTAAGTCATAGCTCTGTTTCATGAGTTAGTTTAAAAGGATATAAAATTCATTATTTATTATGTTTGGCAATCAGTTGTAAATTCTAGAGTCTTTGTTTTATGCAACAAGTATTATATTGTTAGTGACTTAAATCATCATTATTGGTTTTATAATAAATAATACTTTTGGCAATTTTAGAAGAAAGATGTCCACAAAGACATACATTGTATATATGTATACACATTTTGAGGCTTATTTATTTTTCATTTTTTCTTAAGTGGACCTTCCAAGATCCAGAAATATGTGTCTGGAAAGAATAATACTGATGTGGGTAGAAAGAAAGCTCAGAAGAGTTCAGGTAAGTTATTGTTTATTTTCTACTGTCTGCTATTTTTTTTTTAAATTACATTATGCATGTGGAGTAAGGTAAACATTTACTGAGAGAAAATGTTACTGGGTACTTGCTCTTAAGAACTTTAGTGTATAGATTTGTAAGACCCTGTGCCTAGGGTGGTACACAGGGTTGTGATTGGCTGCTAACACAAAGACTGACAGTTCAAATCTACTTAGCGACGACCCAAAATAAAAGCGGCAATCTGTTTCCATAAAGATTATAGTCAGGAAAACCTCACAGAGCAGTTCCATTCTAAAACACATTGTAAGAAAGGACTTTGCAGCAATTGGTTTGGTTTTTAAACTTTTAGTGCCTACACGCATGTTCTTCATTTGGTTGGTTACACATAGAGTTGCTATGAGTCGGAACCAACTCAGTGAATTGACTCAACAGCACCACCACCAACTAGAACAGGTGCATGTGCAAGGGAGGGGTGCAGCACGCAGCATATGGGGGTGTGGAGAAAGGGACGGAGAAGAACAAGGGAGAGAAAAATAACAGCCTTTTCTTTAAATAGGGCATAATAAAATATTGGTACTTATGGTATCTACTCCAGTATTTTGAATGTTTAAGCTGATAAGGGTATAAATGAAAACAAGATTGGCAATATATTGGTAATGACTGAAGCTAGGTATATTAGATTAATTGTACTGTTTTCTCTGTTTTGAATATGTTTGAGATTTTCGATAATAAAAAATTTAAATATCTCTTTAATAGAGAGCTTTTGTAAATGTATTTGTGCTTGATGAGCACATTGCTAACAATTTTTTATTGTGAATTGAGTGACACGGTTTAAAGAGCAGATCAGCAGTTTTACATTCTACATATCACATACTTTGCTTCGTTACATGTTTGCAGTCCCCTCTATGTACCAACAGTTAAAAGTATTTACCTCAACAACTTTAATACATTCTTTCCTATGTCTCTGTTACCTTGATCCTTCTTCTGCTCACCTCGCTTGCGTATTGCCTACCCTGTCACCCTTGTTAACATGTGTCTACCCTATAGCTTGTGATTAATTTCCCCACTTCACCCCCTTAATGATCATAGATTATTTCTTTTATCAAGAAAGGCTTTTTAAAACTATTTATAACATTGGTCACATAACGATATTTGTTCTTTTGTGATTGACTAATTTCACTCAGCATAATGTACCCCAGATTCAGCCATATTGTGAGTTGTTTTACAGATTCATCATTATTCTTCAATGTTTTGTAGTAATTCCATTTTGTGTTTTTACCAAATTTTGTTTAACCATTCTTCTGTTGATAGGCTGTAGCCATCTTTTTGATATGTCTCTTGCAGACAGCATATTGAAGGATCCTGTTTTCTTATCCATTCTGCTCTCTGTTTCTCTCTTTTTTTAAAAATGTTTTATTGTGAATTATGTGATAGTTTATATGAAAAAACATTAGTTTTACATTCATCCTATCATATGTAGTTTCACTGCCATGGTTACAATCCCCTCCATGCATCATCAGCCAACCAGTGTATATACCCTGCAAGCCTTCTCCCTGGTCATCAGCACACATCCCCTCTCCCTCTCTGGGTCTAAAGTCTCCAGCCGCTCCATCTCTCCACGTCATTGTCTCTGCCTCCATCTCCTGCTTCTATGGATAGGGTCCCGCTGATGGTCCCAGGGACCTCCGCTCCTAGACTGCAAAGTCAATCACTCCCCTCCTTTTGCTACAAAACATCTACCTTTACATTTCCAACCCACACAATCAGTCCTGATAACAATTACTCACTATTGTATCACAAGAGACCTATCGGCATCTCCTTTCATCAGCCCCACCCAGACAGGTTGGGTGCTACTTAGTAGAGATTCTGCCTTCCTCCACGCCCTCTGGATCTAGGCTCCCTCTTGAAAGCTTGTAAGCCAGTCACTTCAGCCCCACATTTTGGGTAGCCAATGTCCAAGTTGCCCATCCCTGTCTACTCTGTATGGAGGGGGTAGGAATGATCCTCGCTGTAAAGATTTGTTGTCGGGGACCTGCCTCGACATAGGAATTCGGTTCACGAGGAGGGGATATCAGGGGGTGATAGGGATAGCAAAAGAGGAGACACAAAGACGCAAAGAGAGAGACAAAGAGACACCCCGAAACCAGAGTGGATGGATGCCTTAATGGCATCCGGCAGATCCGGAATGGTGAACATATTAGCCATGAGGGCAGTAAGATCCCGCATAGCAAACATCTTAGCTATGCAGGCAGTACATTCCCTGTGCTAGCTGGTCAGCCACGCATGCCTAGTCAGCTGTATAATGCCCTCCAAGCTGTAATGCACACCTGGTTCGGCCTGTGCCTCCATTTTATTTAGGGGAGGAGCCTTACACCAAGCTGGGAGGGACTAAGACAAGGTACAACTAACATACATAATTTTCCAGACATTCAGGCAACTTTACATCATAATTTGCAGGTTCGAATCCCAGGCCCGCAACTTGGTTTCTCAGGCTTAATTAACATATCTATAGCAACTGAGCTCAGTTGGGGGACGGTGAGAAGGAAGGTCAAAAGGCTTGGGAGGAGTCCCGCTGTGTTGGCTTCCTGAGCCAGGTTTTCAGGAGCCCAGTTGAATGGCCTGCACCTGGAAACACTTTAAGACAGCAGTCTTTTTGTCCTTAGAACAAAGAACCGGGAAGTAGCCAAACTATTTTTAGTTAATCCTTGGGAGAAAAGCTTTACCTTTGAAACCTTTACAGTCTCGGCTTTTAGGAAAATATCACATTTATCTGTGGATATCAGGGCTTCATGTATGCAATTAATAACAAACATAGCTGAATACTAAGATGAAAAACAGTTTGCTATGTCTGCTAGGTGGCTAGCATCTGTTCCTCAGAGCCTGCGGCCTATATGGTCTCCAACGCTCGGGCCCACAGGGCCTTGAACTCCTGACCGGGTCTGGACGGTCTGCAACAGTTTGTTCCATCTTTTGAACTACTGCATCCTTAGGTGTAGGTCAAGTTCATCAAATTGTATCAGATTCCTCTTTTTTTCCTCTTCTTTCTTTTTCTAGTTGAGCTCTGATCATCCAGTCATTGAAGCCACGTCAAGTGGGTATTATCTGCAAGTGTGGGTGTTCTTATGCATATGTCGTCTCATATAAGCTGGATGCTTCACTCTCCACTCTAGTCTTCTGTGGCTGTGTCACTGACTCTGGGCCCAAGAGTCCTCAGTTCTTGCCACACTGCTGGCCAACCAAATCTCCACCTCGGTTCACAGGAATCTGTTGAACATTGCAGGGCTTAGCTTTCAAGCTTCATTGCTGTTTTTCCCTTCACTTACCCTAATCAGTGACAAATATGGTTAACAATCAGAGCGTGTATTCCCATTGAGTCTTAGTCTTGGAAGGGGGTTTGCCTTGAGGGGACCCGACCACTTGCTTTGATGTCTCCTGGGTCAACAACTTGCTTCTTCTTGTAGTAATCAGTTAGACTATAGTAACCAGTTGGACTGGCCATATTGTTTTGTATTTTTCCTGTTGGTCATTCTTTCAAGAAGTATCTTCTGTTCTTCTAGCTGCTCCAGGATGGTCTGCTTGTCTACTTTCAAGTGGAAATTTCCCACCTCAGAAGATTCTGGATACGGTTCAGGATTCCACCTATGGTCTTATGTAATGCAGAAGCTCTGCAAGATGCCTCCTTCACTGGGCACATTGTAGTCCATTTTAGGTATTCCAGTCAGTTATAGGCAGAAGACAGACGTACAAGCTTTCTATGGTGATATTTCTGGCTATTCCTTTCTTTCCCCCTCAAGTATATTATTTTATAATGGTATGCCAGGGAAACTGAGATTCAAAAGACAGTCAAGCATCTTAACATTATTAACCCCCTTTTGTCCATTCCAACCAATTCTCATCCCTGTATCCCAGACCCCTGTTGTTCCAAGGTTGTGCATACATCATTATTTACTTCTGTCCCACTTAGCACATATAAAACTGCCCAATTGTTTTCCCATCCACTTTGTTCTTCCATTCCCCTCACCCTTCTTGTATATTTCCCCCCTCCCTAGCACCCAAACTATCCTGTGTCTATTCCCTATCCTGTGCTTCACCATCCCCTCCTTCCCCTCACCCCACTCGCCACATCTCGGTAACCAGCAAAGAATTCTCCCCCGCCCCCCTTTAGTATAGGTTCTTTTTCTTAGTCTTTTACAGTAGAGGTCCTATGCAGTAGTTCTCCTTTTGTAACTAATTTCACTCAGCGTAATGTCCTCAAGTTTCAACCATGTTATGTGGTGGCTTGCAGCTTCCTTGTTTTCTTCAAGGTAGCATAATATTCCATTGTGTGTATGTACCACAGTTTGTTTATCCATTA